TTGTAAAAAATTTAATTACAAACATTTTTTTCCTCTTCCATTTTCGCCTAAAATCAACTCTTAAAAAGATACATAATTAAATAGGAAGAAAAATATGAAATTTTTCCAATTTTTTTAACATATTGTGCCGCCAAAAGTTAAGCCCACGTTTTTTTTATGCGCATAGAAAAATTTTCATTTCTAATGATATTTAAAAGCCAAAAAGCCAAAAATCTCCGTGGATATACGATTCACCCAAATATGGCTTTTTGAAACAGATACCGTCTGGACTAATGTTTGAGGCTTCAGAAATACAAAATATTAGCTCCAGAATAGAGTTTTCAAAGAGTCACATTCTTTGGCTTGGAAAATATCCTTCGTTTGACTTTCCAGCTCAGATTTCTTGGATTTGAGGTTAGATATTTAAGAATAGAAGTTAGGGACTTCAAAAATAAAAAAATATGAGTTCCAGAAAATAGTTTCAAGGACTTTTATTCTTTGGTGTGAAACATATACATTCTATGAATTTCTAGCTCAAGCTTTTAGAATTTGAAGTTGGGTTTTGAGGGTTTGGGGTTAGGTTTTGAAAGGTTTGAGGTAAGATTTTTATGAATGTAGGTTTATGGCTTTAGATTTTTAAGTAATTATACCTATAGGTTTAGAAAAAAGTCAGTGTATTACTTTGATGTTGGGTTTGATGAACTTGAGGTTATGTTTTTGGGTTCAGGTGTAAGGTTGAAAAGTACTGTCAAGCTACATGATTATTTTCGTTGTTTAATCAACTTCAGCTACAAAATTTAATTTTTTTATTTTTAAATTCCGAATTATTATCTTTGGTGTTGAGATTGAAGGGTTCTAACTCGACTTAAAAAAATCCTATGCAGATGTATCAAATTATCGCATCAGGATCATAAAATTAAGCATATTTGAAGAAGAATATACAGAAATTACCACTGTACAGTTAAAATGCGTAGAATTTTTTCCTATATTTCCCTCTGTGCGTCGGGTCAAGCCAGTCGAGTGGAGTGACGTCACAAATCCTCTACAAACGGCTTGGACTGTTCCAAATTAGAAATTGTTTACCACAGTTGATATTAAATCTATCGACCTGATTTTTTCACCATGGGGGCTAAATGCTTGCGAAAAATGCAAAAACAAGTTATTAATTCCCATTCCCATTCTCCCATTCATGGGAGGAGATTTAGTTTTTTTTTTTGGAGTAATTACACAGAAACGATACTTTTATGTCTTTTTGACACCGTTTTCCAAAAAATTGCAAAATGCAATTTTAATATTTTTCGCAAAAACATGTGTAAACATTCGCGATAACCACTTCTTATTTTTAATAATAACCAAACATGGCATCGAAAATTTTTTTTTATATAATTTTTTTTTCTATAACCTATTTTTTTCTCATTACCCTTTTGCTCTGTAGTTAATTTTGAGGTTGTAAACCTGCAGAACAGCATAACAACAATTACCAACTAAATAACCGAATATATTACCACCGTGCTCTCCGGCTGGGGTTCCACAGGGACCTCGTTCAGGTTGATGAGGTTCTGAGAGGTGTCCGTCTCCTGTGCCGGAGGAGCGGGTTTAGCGGTAATGGGGTGGTTCTCGCTCTCGTTCGAGTGGATACCGCTAGAGGTCTCGCTATGGTTGCTCCCTGGAGGTTCAGGAGGTGAGTGAGAGCTTTCTGTACTTACTGAATCTGATCTACCTGTTCTCTCCTCGTGCGGCATTATGCCGGAATCGGCACGACGCAGACACCGCGGGGCCTGCCCTGGAACAACCTAGAAGCACAATATATATTAGTACGCGTAGCTGTTGTCAGGAGATCTGGTCGCAAATGCTAAAATTACGTCTAAATCGCGCCTTTCGCGGTTCCTGGAGTCAAAATAACCCAACTTACTTAGTGAGTTGATAATAACAAACATACAGGGGGTCAAAGATAACACAGCCAAACAAAAAAAATAGACCTTCGGGCCCAGAGGTCGGACCATGTTTATTATACGTTTTTTGGGTCGCTGAATCGGAATCCGAGGTTTATTTAACCTCATCACCTCAGGATTTCTCATAACTTCAAAGAAAACGATATTCTGGACAATTAAACCATATAACCTTAAGCCTCAAGCTTCCAACGCTAACTCCAATCAACTAAATTTCATAAACATTTAACCCAATGATATCTACCTAATAAGCTCATGAACCCAGACCCCAATAACTCTATAACCCCATAACCTCATAACCAAGGGAATAAATCATGCATCTATGCACTCACGTCATTCCGGTGATATAATTTTTTGGGTTATCTATTATTATCCTTTGGATTTTCATTTCATTTAATCTAGTCAAGAGAGATTCTTAACATTAATTATTCATTTATTTACTTTAGTTTTATTGATTAATTTATAGTACGGTCTATCCTACAAATTAATTTTTGTTTCAAAAGTTCTTATGGGAGCTATATGATGTACAAAATCCGATCGCGCAACCACCTCGTGGTGTACATCAGGTAATGCTAGCGCCAACGGAAAAAGAACTAGATTGACTGTAACACTTGGTTTTTTGGTGAATCAGATCAAAGTACAAGGTAATAAAGTTGTGGTTAGGGAATCGTGGGGTTATGAATTGTAGGGTCATGGGGGTTTTGGGGTTTGAGTGCATAGGTTTTTAAAAAATCCTCAACCACGTTGACTTTTAGCCATAATATGATTTATTAGTTATGGGGTTATGAAGTTACGGGGTTATGGGGTTACAGGGTTACGGGAATTTTTTGGGTTTGAGTACTTGGGTTTTCAAGAAGTCCTCAGCTACGTGATGTTTTGCAATAATACAGCTTACCTATGATTTATTCCCTTGCTTATGGGGTTATAAGGTTATTGGGGTTTGGGTTCATGGGCTTATTAGGTTGGGATATCATTGAATTAAATGTTTATGGGATTTGGTTAATTGGATTTAGCATTGGAAGCTTAAGTCTTATGGTTATATGGTTTAATTGCTCAGAATAGAGCTCAGAGTTTTTTCGAGGTTATGCAAAATCCTGAAGTGATGGGGTTAAATGGACCTTCTGATTCGGATTCAGCGACTCATAAAACGTTATTATAAACATGGTCTGGTCTCTGGGATAGGGAATTCAAATTTGATTAGTATTTTTCCCTATCTTCTAGATGTAGTACACATGTAAAAGGTATCAACTTTTTTGGTCCTGACAGCATGTGATTTCTGGTTCATTGGTTGTTCATACTTTCATAGAAAAGCTATTCCGCATCGCGATAATCACCTGTTGACAGAATATGGTCCAAAATATCTACTATGTATTGAAAAATACAGAGAAAAGACTTTTTTTTATACTTTTGATCTGTATGGTTATTTTAATTCCAAAAACCTCCTATTATAGTATGGTCCATGAGTTACAAAACGCCCTGAATATTTTTGCAATTATTCTGATTAATTTTGAAGTACTATCCACAGAGTCCTAATATCCTCACTAGCGTTTACAAAGAACTACCTCTAGTAACAATTAGATGGCGCCCAAATAACAGAAATTGCTATTCAGTTCCATTGCTTATCCGAAACATGGAACATGTTTTTTTATTTAATTATAAAAAACAAATACATTTAGTAAATTACTATCAATGGATGGAAAGTAGGATCAATATATTATGAGCCTACCCATTCCAAAGACTTTTAAAAACTTTTATAATTTTTTGAGATTTAAAAGCAACAACATCCTTAACAGCAAAACAAATATTAATTAATAAAACTAAAGGATTATGAAAATATAAATACCAGCTTTTTTAGAACATTATTTTTGTGAAATTGTGTGTTTATTCAATGGAAATGTAGCCACAATTCTAGTTGAAAAGATCTACATTTTAAAAGATAAAACATGTATATTATGTATTTTTGCTGTTCTCTGCAACCAAAGTTTTCAACATGAATGTTAAGCCAACATGCGTCATCTTTTAAATATATGCCAAAGTTTAATATTCAATTGTGTCATTTAATAAAATTGTACAGAGAGCCAAACCTTGTAAACTTTTGACAATCAGTTTTTTAGTTTGCAATCTATCTAATAGGTGCCAGTGACATTCACATCTAAAACATCACCTTGATTATACAGGGGTAATAAAGCAAACGCTATTCGCAGTTTTTTATATCGTTGCTAATATCATCGTAAATAAATGATTTTCGGAATAGTATAAATTATCAAGTCAAAACTTTACAAGGATTTTGACAGCGGGAAATTTGAAATATATACGTATACATAAACAATACATATTACCTACTTGTTTTAAATAGTAATAATAGATCAGTTTACTTATATTATAAAAAAGTACTATCGTCCCACTTTTTAGATTGCAATGATAGAGCTGTTAGGTATACAGGATACAGGGTATATTTGAAATATATTGGGTTATTATTTATAGTGTCTTAAGTTTAAATTTCAATTTCAGCTTCAATGTTTCAATACATATTAACTTCTAAGTACGTTGTTGATATAAAACTACAAAGATCAAAAGTTATATGTGACAAGTTTTCTATACAACTATTCGATAGGTTCTGTTGTTCACATTGTCTATATTGTCATTTTAATATACCGTCCCCACGCAAGACATCAAAGAAAACCAATTAATACGATGACAGGTTCCTAATTAATCCAACCATGTCCAATATCTTCGGCAAAGCGTAGAGTCAAAATTAACAAATAACCACATAATTTAATATCGACACGAGAATTTTCTGTGATTAAATTTGTTCTTCCAATAACCTTGACTGTTTTTCTTCGATAAAATTCATTCATTATCCGAAAATAATTACTTTTGGCAGGTGACATTGCACATATTTTATAATTTTTCGCGTATCTTGTATTTGCTTTATGTAATGTTATTTTCTTCAAGTTTCTGGGCAACCTATTCTTTTGGCTTCCGCTCATTTTTCCTTTAGTTACAGAGAAATACAACAATAAGCTGACAAAAATATAGAACTAATATTTTTTCATAGTTTTTCACACCACATTAATACTTATCTTATAAAATTACGCAATACAATTAATATTCTCCTCGATCTACTAATTGTAAGTACGTTAGCATAAATAGGTATAAAAAATGTCATTTTGAACCAAGGATACACTTAATTGCATACATATATTTATGAGCATATTATCTTGAGTTAAGAAATGTTTTTCCATCAAAAATACATCTTATAAGTGAAGGAATTTATTTAACTCAAGATTACCGTTGTACCTAATTATATTACTCGCAAATAAACGATTTATTATTCACAAAAAAATCATTTACTAGGCGCAAATGAACGGTTTATTATACGCAAATAACTTATTTATTTGTGTATAATAAAAAAAGGGACGCAATGATGGTGGAACTTACCGCATTATCGGTGTTGTTGTGCACAATGACAGAGGGTTCTACTTCTAGTAAAGGACTCCGGTCTTCGAAAACGCTAGGCGGTTCGAAGTCCTGGTTGGTACTAGCATATGTTATGTGTTCGTCATGAACGCAAGCCAGAAGCTAAAGCATGTGTGGGATTGTAAGGGTTAGATGATTTCATTGTTTTTGCGAAGTACTTAGTTCGAGCGCAAGCGGACATCGTATAAGCGAAATTAGATGCAGTTATGTAGTAGTATTTCCTGAAATAGTTTTTAAAGAATCAGCGCAACAAATTGTCTTTTATACAATTTTGAACGAGAGGGACTCTCTATAAGAGTTCAGTACACTCTGGCCAGGCTTCTATCCCTGATTATACAGGGTGTTTCAGGATTAAGTCGACAAACTTAAGGAGATATTCCTCATAAAAAAATAAGAAAAAAATCAAGTCTAAATTACCAGACGCTTAATTTTCGAAATATAGGGTGTTACAGATTTTTTTAAAAATTCGAATATTTTAAATAACTGCTAAATGAAGAAGGCTATTTAAGCCAAGTTTGGCATGACACATCTTATAAGATACCATTTTTCCATAGAAATAAAAGTCCCGCAAGCAACCAGTGGCGGAGTTATGGGGACTCAGTCTCATTAAATTATAAAAAAAAATTAATACGGCCCTAGTGAATATAAAAAATATGCTGTTTTTAGATAGAACAGTTTGTTATTGACAAAAACTGTACATTCACTTTTTTTCCTAACTCTTATAGTTTCATGGCAAAATTGATTTTTCGGAAGGGTGCTTCTCGATTCTGTCGATAAACTTTGGGAAGATGTTCCTCATAAAACCTAAAAAAATATAGTACCTATTAAAATTGGTCTTAGTCTCGAGTATGTGTGACTCAAATAAGCCTCTTTGTCTCCCCTTCCCTTGGGTTTAACCAATGGTATTAAAATAATTTAGGAGATGATTCGTTTTGAGTATAAGATATTTTTTTTAGAAAAAAAAAATGATAAAAACAATAGAAATATTTAAGTACCTAACATCTAATGTGACTATGTCGTAATGCGACAAAGTAACGCCCCTTTATAACGAGCGTTCAAATAAAAACGTGTTCAAGTTGGTTCTGAAAATTTGGACGCAGGGCGTAGCGTATAGCAAATGAACTTAAACGTCATCTGTCAAAGCGCTATATCGCCGCTATCAATTTGAATATTTTCGTTTTAAAAAACGTTTAAAATGGTGTTTTCTCAAGAACAAAAAGTGTTTATCATAGAGTCCTACTTTAGAAATGGACGCAAGATTGATGGAATATGGAAGTATTCTATTGAGGAATGTTTCATAGAATTTCAAAATCAATTTCCCGGCGTTGTTGAGTACAAAATTTTTCAAAGTGCAGTTCAGCGTTGTGTTAATGTTTTTCGTGAAACGGGCAGTG